ACCATGAATAACTACTTATCATAGCCACATATTTATGTTATTTTTCCCCGAATGAATCATTTTCTAGCATGTTTATATTGTAGGTGGTGAAGCTACTTCCCTAGTCTCTTTTACCCACATTTTATCTCTTTTAAATTCTTGCAAGTTCTTAATTTATGCATCTTTACATTCCTATCTTTAGTGACAAACAAACACTCTATACCCCTTCATCATCCTAAGAATGACTCTAGACACTTAGGTTGCCTTAGACTAGCGCAGTCCCAGTGGTTCGACTTACCCGACCAATAGCCCTATTTTACAATGATTCGTGCTATTGCGAAGGTTGATGTATAGTTGATCAACCGATCATAAATTAAAGGAATTAATTCTTTCTTAAAAGTTGATATACTTTTAACCATATTCCTTTACCGTGTAATCTCATCATGATAAGAATCTTAAGGTATCATTTGTAACTAAGCTAGACTACTCCCAAAGGTTACACCAAAAAGAAGAAATTGAATACATGTCTTTGTGCAAATATGACTTTCATTTCAATTGCATGAAATGATTTTTAATTGACTTCATTTTTAAAGACTATAAAGAAAAATCACCTATAATTGAAATGTATAAAATTTTGAACTATATGTTTAAAATTATCTTTCGCCTTATGTGATTAAAATAAGCTCTTAGAGCTCTCTTTGAAAGGCTTAGTGATTTTCTCAAGATTGATGATTTTTGACTAAATTGATATATATGCGTTTTCAAAACCATTCATGAAAATATGTTGATTGATTATATATACTATCATTGGATCAACATTTATGATTTGTGCAAAGAAGCTTACCTCAAGCATGCAAAATAAATTGAAATTAGCATGATGAGTAAACATGATTTCTTCTAGAGTTTAAACTCCTCAAGTGTCATGAACTTAAATTTCATATATCTATTTGACTCTTTAGTCTTGAGAATATGACATTCAAAGGATACTATGTTCTACCTTAGATGACTAATGTGATATTACAAGTGCTATACTATTTTGATATATCCATTTTTAGCACTTTAGAACTTCATGTGATATTTTTACATCACTTCTTAAAGAATGCATCTAGAAGAGATAGTTAGCTCATCCACATGGAAATTCATGTGGCCAATCTCTCACCACATCTCTTAAAGAAGTTATTTTGGTATCAAGACCTCATTTTTTATGATTTTAACCATACTTGCTCCTATGTGTTGTAATTACATCTCTTTATTGGCTTATATACTTTTGGGAAACCCATGATCTTCAAATAATACATCTTATCATTTTCATTATTGAATTAAGGGTTTTTAAGTATGACTTGTTTCATGATATATCTTAAGCATACTTTACCTATCATTGCTTCATTATTCAATTAGTTGCATAATCATTGAATAATATATGATGCAAATGGAAGCATATTGATAGGGGGAGATTATTAGTAATTTCTTGTGAAGGAATATTGCATGATTTGCTTAGCTTAATTGACTTATCTTATATATTGTCAAAACATGCCTTAAAATGACTTTTTGGTCATTATATTCCATTCTTATGAGCTTTCATAACTTTGAAAAAAATTTCCCTCTTTATCAAATACATCAAATGGGAAAAATATATTAGGATTGAAGCTCACTTAACTTCTTTGCTTTGCCTCTACAAAGGTTTTTGTCTTTTGGCTTACTCTAATCCTTGCTTCATTTTTATTTTTGTTACGAACTATTATGTATACTTTTGTATACTTTTGCTTAATTGAGTATATATTTCATCTTAGGTTTATGTTTTATGTATACTTTTGTATATGCCAAGAACCTTAATGATGTATTGAACTTATGCTTTCATTGCTTCACTATACTAAATGTTAAATGCTTAATGAAGTTGTTTAGACCTCCCACCTTTTAGAGATGCCAAAGGAGAAGAGATATGTGATGTGTTAAATGATCTTAAATGCATGTTTATATCTAAAAATATTTATGATATATTAAGCATGCAATTTTATAACATTATGTTCATTGAATGCACTTTGATAGGGGGATCATTTTTCAAATGTCACTCCACTTACTTATGAACACATCAATGTTTTGTCATTATTAAAAAGGGGGAGATTGTTGACCATAAGGATTTCATCTAAGACAATCTAGATGTTTTGATGATAACAAACCATTAATGATGTTTAAGGACTAATGTATACATTAAGTGTTATACATTAAGTGTTATATAGATTATTCACATTCAAATAATGACCTCAATGAAGCTATAAAGATCATTCCAAGTATTCCGTTACTCAAGATCACATCTATGGAAACTAAAGAAGTCAAAAGGAACTTGAAGTTGCAAGAAACCAAATGCAAAGTCCATCCAAAGATAGCTTGGACTACAACGAGCAAGAAAGCAACTCAAAGAAAGGAAGAAAACAAGTCTACCTATCCTACACGATCATGGAAGAAAGCAAGTCTACCTAGCCTACACGATCATGGATAAAGCACGAAGAAAGGGGTAGATAGATTGGTGAGTGTTTAGGATTCAATGTCAAAGTATTTATGAATCCATTTGAAGCTCATCTCTATAGGATCATGCATATCATCATTATCATTCATATATTCCTATATACATTAGCAATAGACTATGCATTTAATTCATATATAATTGACATATGGAGTCTTCGCTAAATATTGAGTTAGTTCAAGCTTGTTTAAGCTTTAAAAGAACTCATCACTTATGCTAGAAATACTAAGACCATGCACATCAATCATATAATTCATATTGGTCAACAATTAAGGCATAAGAAGCCTTCATTACAATGAGTTAGTAACGGACATGAGGACCCCAGAATACGCGTCATGAAAAACTATGTTTTTGGCTAAGTGTGAAAATTGGATTTTTGAAATAATAATTATTTCAAAATAATTTTTCCCGGTAATAACTCTTTATACTTCATCTAGCCTAAACTGATTTTATCAGAATTTTTGACCAAGTCTACATTGGTCTACATAAGGATTCATTTTTACCAAAACTGTCGGAAATCCAAATTTGTACTAAAACTGAATTTCTACATTTTGATTTAGTTGGATTTCAATTTTTTAGTATTTTTTATTGAATCCAAATGGGGAGTACTTCCTTATTTACATTGTAAACTTAAAGTAAATGGACATATAAATACTATAAAGACATTTGATGCAACTGTCAACCGGTATCTATGCAGTAGCAAAATTCAAGGAGGAGCTCATATATGTCGACCGGTTTGATGCATACGTCGACCGATATCTAGGCAGTACTGAAATTTCAGAAACATAACATACGTCGACCAGTTTGGAGCATACATCAACCGGTTCATGCAAAGACGTCAACCGGTTTATGCCATACGTCGACCGCTTCCTGTCGAATCTGCAGATTTCAAAATGCAACAGCTCTATTCTCATCGAACCTTGTGCATTCAACTCCTAACAGCTCTATTAAGCTTGCAAACTCTATAAATAGAGTGGGGAATGTCTAAATAATCAAGAGACATTATTTGAAAGCCTTTACATTGCATTAAAGAGAGTTTTTGTTCTCAAATCTTCTCTTAATCTCTCTCATTCACTTATATATACAAATCTTGATAGATTTAACTAAGGATTCAAAGGGCTTTTGCTCTAATTCGAATCTCCATAGAGCTTTTGTTCTATTCTACACTTGAGAGATCTTATTGAGTTCATTAGAGATTTTGTTCTTCACTTATATCATCTTCTCTCATTTATATCATTTATAGAGTTTGAGCTTCACTTATAATCATATATACTCTAGTTGAGAGCTAAAGTTTGTACATCAATCTTTGAGAGATATTTCTTGTGAGCTTGCACTTGTATATCTATCTTGAGAGAGATTCAATCTTGTGTTTCAATTACAAACTTTTCTACAAACTTATAAGGGTTGGTGTAACCCAAAAGAAGCCTAGGAGAAGAGTGTTCTCCTAACAAGGAAAAGAAGCAAGGTCTTGCTTCATGTAAAGCTTTGCTCTCCACTCGTAAAGAGAAGCCATAGTAGATTGGGAAGTCTCAAGAGGAGTCTTGAGCCGAGGAGTAGGAGTTTCCGATCCTCGCTAAAATCGCCGAGTTAATGTTTGCAATTTCTCTTCCCTTATCTCTCTTATTATTGTGCGATTTAATTGCTAATTTCATATCTTTATAGTTGCACAATTGTGTTAAGTACTTTACTTGAAATTGTTTTTCTATATTGCGAAAATTATCCATTGTTTGTAATTGACTCTATTCACCCCCCCCCCCCCCCCCCTCTGCACAATTGTGTTAAGTACTTTACTTGAAATTGTTTTTCTATATTGCGAAAATTATCCATTGTTTGTAATTGACTCTATTCACCCCCCCCCCCCCCCCCCCCCCACCCCCTCTAGAGTCAATTCTTGGGCTAACAACTTTCTCTTTAAAGCATTCAAGGCAAGACTCCAAGCAACTAAACATAACTAAAAACAAAGAAGAAAATTTTAGCCGAAACTCTCACTAAAGAGCTCAAGAAAGAAAAAATATATAAAAAATAAATAAATCAAGGCATACACATATCTATGAATTAATATGCATGAAATAAGTGATAATAAAAAAATGTTCCTGTAAAAGTGTGACAGATAATAGGTTCCTTTGGTAATATCTCCGATTTGCATTAAAATGAGCTGCTAGCCTACCATTAATTGTCTTAGGCCATTTATCTTTAAGAAAAAACTGGTAATTAATAAGACTGAAGCTCTCAATTTAAGTTTTATGATGTTGGGCTAAAATTATACAAATTTACATCAATGTGGAGAAAAGCTAGCCGTAGCAGTTGATCCCCTTGGCTCCAAAAGCTACCTAGTCTACTAATATTAGTGATGAAAACAAAAGCTAGCCGTAGCAGTGGATCTGACTCTCAAAGAACAAATTGCATCAATGTGGGGAAGAAAGGTATTTCCTACTATGCAGTTTCTTACTAAAAGGTCTATTTCACAAAACCAGTAGTTTAATAATAATTGACTTGTGCTAACAAATAAATGAGTGGAAGCCAGCAACAACTTAATCGGAAATAGAAGAGTAAGAGGTTAAAAGGAATGAGATCAGAAAGATGAAGATGTGAACCTCAAAAGACAAAGAGACTAATACTTACCTGTGCTATAAGATGGGAAGAGATGATCCAGTCTCTCTGTAGCAGTCCCCGATCCAGAGCATGAAGGATCTAAAAGTATAACACGAATCTACAAAAAAGAGTGCACGCAAAGAGAGAACAAATATAATATCAGAGTCCCGTACATGTAGTCAGAGGCGAAGGATCACAGTGCTAAAAAACTGCAGTGAACAGTATAAGTTTAACATAATGTTCCTGGATGCATATTCTGACCTCTGCCTAAGTTTAATACATGACAAGTGCCATCAAAACCAGCCTAGGCTGGATGATTCAACTAGTGATGGGAAACTGTCTCTCATGTTTTTTGGTAAGTAACAGTCTCCTATGCATCTCTACATCAACAACTTTAGCTGCCATTTTGTAATTTTTTCACTTCATGCCTTTTGTAATGATTAGTTTCTATTAAATTAGTCTATCAAGCGTTAAGCATCATTTAATCAAGCAAAAACTCATAAATGCATCCAACCCAAAAATCCAAGGGAAAAAAATACATACCTCAAACATCATTTAAGCAAAAACTTAGAAATACAAGCTTATCTCACGTTCTGCCCTACATGTAAACCAAATAATGTTTTTCATATTGATATATCATTAAAAATATTTTAAAACGTGCTCAAAAAAGTATCTAATTACTTCCACACCAGTGAGTGAGCAGATAAACAAATATATATATATATGTGTGTGTGTGTGTGTGTGTGTGTGTGTGTGTGTAGAGAGAGAACAAAACCAAAAAAAAAAAATTGTATAATAGATGTCAGGCCCTCAAAATCATTGAACAATTATATATATATATAATATGTATATAAGGTCAGTTGAAAACAATTGGTATGATGATTGTGAATTTAAGATTAGAGTAATTAAACAATAGAATCTTCAATATGACAAAGGCTTTCATTGGAATACTAGCTAAAGGGTGGTTTTTAACACTGTTAGATCTTTTACGAAGAGCAAGTCATTGATGAAGATCATCAGAAACCTGGAAGCAATAACGAAAAGTTGATTACTTTTCTTCTATTGATCACTTGCAATTGGGTATTGCACAAACTTCAAAGATCAAATGATATGGAGTTAGCATTGTTTGAATGGTAAATACAGAAAGAAACTGGTCTTGGTCTGAGTTGAAGCATATGGATACATAGTATTTCATCTTAACTCTCAAGGAAAACTTAAAGTGCATGCAATTGAAAACCCAAAAAATAATGAAAGAACGAAGGAAGAAAAGGGAGGAAAAGAGTCAAAACAAACAAAGGGAAGATAAGCCCTATAATTATACAGATCATTGGGAAAAAATGCAGATTTACAAATATTAATTTAGACTTATGAATTTTGAACAAACAGGCTGTGGTTCTATCTAGTATCTTACAATACTCTTTTGTAATTGTATAAATTTCTACATTAATAGATGTATGATTCAACTCAAGTTTCCCTTGTCTAACAATTGACTTCACAATCATATTTCTTCTTGGTAAAGTGCTGCAGAGTTCAAATGAATAAGAAAAGTTGGAATTATTAGATTACCTCAAACATTATGCACATAAAAGGAAGGTATGGATCAGAAGGCTCTAAGAAACGCAAAGAAGCAACGAAGTCTTTTGCAAATGAGGTCGCAGAATCATTAAAAACAAATGTGCATTCATAAGAAACTACCTTCTCAAAGGTGACAGTATTTTACTTTTCTTTTTTCTTTGTGCGCCATGACTTGATTTAACTCTCCCAGATAAAGCCTTCTTTGCTTACATGGCTACAGTAGGATAATTTAAAATAATAGTGACTCCCAAACATTTGGCCACATTACAAATGCTCCATTGTGCTTAAGAAAGGGGAAAAGGGCACTTTACTCAATTCAAGTTAGGACTTCTCGGTTTCTAATAATCATACAACATCTGAAATGGCATATAGTAGGAAGAGATGAAAAATAAAGTGAACACATAAGCACAAGAAACCTTCCATTTTGCCTAAAACCCTTTTTACGACCCCAACACAGCCTTCACATAACATGGCAACCTTGAGGACAACAATTGGCATTAAGAATGAATAAATTTCAAGTTATCATTATAAGAGGATACAATAACAGAGATATAAAATCATAAAAAATAAAATAAAAAAAAATAAAAGAACACCAAGGGAACAATTCCTAAATATCAGGTCATTATTTGAGGTGAGCCTCTCAAACAATTTGAGCCAATTTAACATTAGCCTTGAGTTCTGTAGGTTTATGCCTCCAACTAATCAAATAAATAAGACATCTTATTTCAACAATTTCGTATCTCAGAAAAGAAACCTATAAGAGCAAATAATCAGCTTGATAACTGTAACGACCCGGTCATTTGCCTTCCTTTCCTTTTTCCTGAAATTTTACGAATGAATTTTTTTCGTTTGATTTTCTTTTCTGAGCTATGTTTCGTGTCGCTTAGTGTCATCTCGAGTGCTCAGAATTGGTTCCTGAGACTCTTTTCCGTGGATTGACAATTTCCTTTAAAGACTGAGTCATTTTCACATTTTTCGTTTTTCGACACTATGCGCTATTTCGTCCTTTTCCCTATTATGTCTTATCTCCGCTTGACAATTTTTGGCACAACCACACTTCTCATGCTTGGAGTTGGTTTTTGACTTCACGTGCCTTCATCTTGAGTGGTTTCCACGAAATATGTATCTTTACTTTTGTAAGAAAGTACTCTGGTTGCTCCCGGTGCCCATAGGAGCATGGATGCATAAATCTTTGGAATTAATTTCATTTCTTGGGGTGTTTTTCATAAATATCTTTTGAAGATATTTTATTTCAGGGGCATCTAAGAAATATCTTTTGGAAGATATTTTCATTCTGGGGTAGTTTCGCAGTTAACCCTTTTTGTAGGAGCCATTGTGTAATTAATGAAAGTTATTGCAAAATGTCTTGTTTTGACCCTAGATCCTCGTACGGGATTCATTTTCACATTTCGTCGAGTTATGTACTCTCGGAATTTCCTCCTGGTCGATGTTTTCCAGTTTCAGGGTTTCTGGCCCCGATTTGCGCCAAACTTGTTTTGGGCATAACTTTCTGGTCGGGACTCGGTTTTTGATGCTGTTTCTTCCGTTGTTCATATTTTATCATTTTGAATCTTTTTCGTTCACAAAGTTTTGCCATTTGAGCGCGTCTGCTCAAATTTTACTTTTTCGGACCCGGCGGGGCCCGTTCGGGGCACTTTTTGAGATTTTTATAAAAGGGGGGTGAGATATTTCATTTTTGATCTTTTCCCCTCTTCATGCACGACTTGGAGCTCCCATGGCAGCCTAAAGGGTGCTGCCATCTTCTCTCTCCTCTTTTGGTTCACTTTTCCTTGATGGAAAGTTTTCGGCCTTAACGTTGGTTGTTCCCCTCGTCGTGCTCTACCTTTCCCCCTTATTAGAATTCAGTTTTGATCATTTCTTGAGTTTGGTTTTGAGGTCAAGTTATGATTTTGATGGGGCTTCTTGCGAATTTATGTTCACGGTGTTGTCCCCGATAAAACCTCTCGGTATCGTCAAATTCGGAGCACTTTTATTTTGGTGGGCCTTTAGGATTTTCATCTCAAATTGAGGTAGGTGATGTTTTAGATTTAAATTCTTGTTATATAACATGCTTGTGATGCTTATACTACTTGTTTGCATGATTAAATATAAAATTTAGAAATTTTATTATTTATTTTTCTTGTACGAGATCTAATTTTCTCGATTGCTCATGACTTGGTTTAAACATGTAACATGATTTTATATTGCCCCTTGATATGCTCATTGTCGTGTATTAAAATTGGAAAATTTGAATAAGTATTAAAGATTTTATTTAATATTTATCTTAGGTGAAAGATAAATTCATATGGCCTTAACTAGCTTGAAATTAATATGTGTTAGCATATTATATTAGGCCTTAGCATGCTCTACAACATAGCTGAATTTGATAGTAATTGGAGGTGTTTTGAAAATTAGTAATTATTAATTAATTTGATTAATTAATTTGTCCCGAGTGCACTATTCACTCTATTTAAATTCCAACTTGATATTCTTGATTTACATGCCATATAGCTTCACATATATTTGATTTAGAATATTCGGTTAGGTTTTGAAACCTTTTATTTAATTAAATTCTATATTTAAGATTTGATCCTCATGGTGATATACAACTTGGAATTGAATTATGGCATGCTAGAAAATTAAGCTTAGGTATAATTGGTCACATATATAAAATTGGGATTAATTGCATGAGAATTGCAACTTTTAATTTATATTTAACTTTAGTGAAAGTTTAATTCACATGGTCTTAAATTGAATGAAATAAACTTGTAATGTGATATTACATTAGTTCTTGGCATGCTTTCCAACATAGGTTAATTTGAGAGCATTTGGTTAAGTTTGAAAATCTAGAGATTTTAATTAAAAGAATTAATTAAAATCTATTTTGTGGTCCCATTAGCTTAATTAAGGTTTTAACTTGATGTTTGTATTGGCCATGACTTATTTACTAGTATATATTAATTGTGGACCATTTGAAGTTGCTTTAGAACCTTGGTAATTAAATTAGCATGATTTAATTAGAGTTCTACTTTGTTATTCCAATAACCTAATTGAGTTTTAGAATGGATATAGGTAATGACCATGCCATATTCTTTAATATGTATTAATTTGAGATTATTTGAAATTGAATTAGAATTTAGGGAATTTAACTATTTTTATTTAATTAAATTCTATCGAATTGAGCCATGGATTTAATTGTGTTTGAAAGTCATTTCTATATCAAAATCCTGGACATGGACTTGTTGTATATTCATTTGGTTATGTTTTGAGCATTGGATAATATAGTTGCTATGTTTATACTCATGAGAATATGCTTTCCTTATTGAATATACTATTGTCTTGTGTAATGATTTGCACATTTTGTATTTAACATCATTCATGCATAGCGTGTAACGAATCGCACACTGAAGATTCGATATTCATCACATCATATTAGTTGTGGACTTAGAGCATGTATTGTACAGGTTTCCAAATTTGGTTGTGCTTAGTAGATAGTTGATTATCTTGCATATTCCTGTTGATATATGCGTTGTTGCACAACTTGTTGATTTTGGAAACTTGGGGATGTCGTTGTTTGACTATGGCTAGGACGTGGTTCTAGGACGGGATATAGTCCCTCTATATGGTCTAGTGCGTACATAGGGAGGTTACCCATGGGCTAGTAACCCTAAAGTAACTATGTTGTCGGTCTGATCCGACGTAACGTCCGAATATCCACTTTGTTTGATTTCGCATTTCATTTTCAAGTTGATAACTAGATGATGTTGTAACTTGTTGTTTCTTATTTGTCGTTCCATTTTAAGTTACAGGATGTTAACTTTGCGAAATTGTGCTTTATGCGTTGTATTGGAAGTTCCAATGTTGATTAAATTGCATCGATATTGAAAATCGTGTTTTGACGTTCTAATAAATCTTAGGATTGATCCTATTGATTCTTTTATAACATAGACGTTAGGTGGCATGAATCACTACTGTTATTTTGTGCTTTAGATTCTAAGTTGATAGCTTTGAGAACTTAAACCTTGTTGTATTGTATAACATACACTTTTGTTGTTGAATTGCATGGATAATGTGATTCTTATTAGCTTGTATTCAAATATACTTTTGTCATGTTGTATGGATTACTCTAAACCTAGTTCAATTGTATTGAAAATGCAGTTCATGTTAATCTATGCTCAAGCATTCTTCTTGTCGTGTTCTTTGCATTATCCCAACCATGATTCGTTTCATACACGTATGTATATCATGATTCTTGTTGCTTAGACTCTAAGGTAGCTTAGGATGCTCCTCGAGTCTCACTTGGACATAGACATTAGGTGGCATGAGCCCCTTTAACATGTTTCACCTTAAGGTGATAAATTTGTAAAATACTAGGTCGATGCATGCTCATCTCCTACGAGTAGTTTTATGTTACTCACCCCTACGATACTGGAGTATATTTCAGGTACGAAGACTTGGTTCGTGACGCCTAGCATTCCTTGGATGTCGTGTAGCTTTCAAGTTTCCATTTCATGCAAATGTTAGCATGAAATGTCATTTTGTAGACTTATATGCCAAAATATGTATATTTGATTTCATGTATGTAATGTATACATAAGTGCACTCCTTTCAATGTATTTGACATGTATGAGATGAGGCCGGAGGCCAATGACATGTGTATTGTATTCTATACAACTTTTTAACTTCATGAAATATTATAAAAACCTTGAAAAATCGCAAGTCATTGCTTCACCATGGTTGCATCGGGTGTGGGAATTCCATTTTCATTCTTTCATAAGGTCTTATTAATCTTGTATGAAGTGTGGCCAATGGCCAAACGGTCATTTGACTCCATTTTACATTTTTGGATTCCATGTTTTCCATTTTAAGTCCATTTTTGCCTTTTTGCCCGTTGGGGGGTCTAATTTTGCATCGGCTATGTTTTTAAGTCGTGGACCATTGTAGCACGTCCAAATAGGTAAGTTACATTTGCGTGCATGGTCGTTTCCGGGCAAAACTTTATCATTTGTGTTTTGAGCCTCTTGTGAATTCATTTCGCACTTTTTTTGCATAATCTGATCTAGGGGCGTTCTGGACCTTTCACATCAATTTTATTTCCTTCTTTCAACATGGTTGAATAGAAAACATGATTTTAGGAGGGTTTCTTCTTCGTGTTTTTCCAGAAAATGTCGTCTTGGTACCGGAAATCCCTCATGAAGTTTCAGCTTCCAGTTTTCATTTAGCAACTTTATGACCCTCTTGTTCAGTTCTGATCTAGGGGCATTTTGGTGATTTCACAATGAGTTTTTTTCGATTCCGTCGGCGTAGTTAGGTAGAAAACTCGATTTTAGGGGGGATTTCTTCTTCATGTTTTTCCAGAAAAGCTCGTTTTGACCTCCGTTTCAAGCCTCAGTTCTGGGCAGATCAAAAAAAATGTAGCAGTAGCTTTGGGCGCTGGCATGCACGCCAGTGGGCTCGTGTATGGGCGCCGTGTGCGCCATGGCCCCTCGTCGGGCAGCCGCGACATCAATTCTTCTTTTGGGCTTTTCTCCTTCGTCCAGACTCCGATTTAAGTGAATTTTTTTTTGAACTTGACTAATTTTTCGCTGTCTTTCCAACGGTGTGCTCGGTTGCACCGGGTTCTTCCTGAATAATTACCAGTTTACCCTTTTTGCTTTAAGTGCTCGTTTTTCTTCGTCATGCCGTTTCTCCTTCGTTCGGACTCCGAATCATGCGATTCTTGAGTCCATCTTGATTAGTTTTCGTTATCCTTCCAGTGGTGTGTTCGGTGGCACCCGAATCTACAGTTTTCAAAAATGACTATTTTGCCCCTAGGGGCTTATTTGTCATATTTTCGATCTTTTGCTTCCGCATCAGTTCTTGTTGAGTTCCACGACCTCATGGAATGTCACTTTGACTTCTTAGAGTCTTGTTTTCTGTTTTCGCTTCCGCATTCGGATCCGTTATCGGATCATCCTTACGGTTCATCACAAGACACGTTGGCCTAAAAACCAGGGTCGTCACAATAACAAAATCAAGTGTGAAACATAAACCATAAATCAAGAGTCTATAAATATAATGGAGTACAATAATAAAGTATATATGATGAATAAATCGTACTGATTTTATAAAATAATTCTCTAAATGGGATGGAATTGCTTCAGAATTATAACATATGAATTATGACCTCATTCAAATATGTTTTTAGATTCTAAAATGTCAGCTTAATTTAACTTCTTCTCAAACAGTTTGAAGTTTCAACAGAAATAGACAGGGTCATTGTAAAAAATTCTGTAACTGCCATTTTTGTAAATTTTGTTAGCAATATTCTAAAGCCAAGAACTAGTTTTAAGACGTTATACTTGAGACAACCTTTTCAAGGGCTTGTTGAATTTCAAACCACCCTATCTACTTCTTATATAGCATTTCAACATAAGATTCTACCATGTTGAATGGTACCATTTCCAAATCACAGCCATAAAAAACAGGCTTTCAAGGAAACATGAAACAATCGTGTACCATGAAATATGGAAAAATCACTAATTTAGCCTAATGAGTTAATTTTTATTGATGAATTTTCTCTTCAAATGCCATGGACCCATTTTAAAATCAATGGGATTTTAAACACAACCCAAGCGTAAGACACAGACAAACACACAAATAGAACATACTGCTAATACTAAAACACTTGATTGTTTGAAAGCCATATTTTCTTTGAAGAATTAGATTAATTTCCATTTCTAATCGTGCACTCAAGCTTCACAATAAACATGGTGAAATGCAGATTCCAGAAAGTGATTCAAGACAACCTAAAAATTTATAAAATTAAAGGCCAGTTTTGATGTACTTTCTAGCTTCTAAAACAAATTTATACTTATTGCTTTGACAAAAGTTGCCAATTTTGGCATGCACGCGATTTCTAAATTGTAATGGAAATAAAGAATAAATAGATACCACAAAAGAAAAAGAATTATGGTAGAGCATCTTTGGCTGAATATTATAGCACATAGAGCATAGTTGCAACGCCAACGATTTACTAAGTTAAAAGTGCTTCTCCATTATAATCAAAATAGCTTTTATAATGATGGTATAAAAATAGGCATATGACTTCCATCAAAAGGTAGGTCATCATTTCGAGAATTTTTAAATTGCAGACAAGAAAATAAGTAAAATAAGGTTCCCAAGCTACCTCCAAAACCATGGAAGAAATGGGGTTTTAGGCTGGCTTAACAGACATTTAATGGTCTCCACAACTCATTCCCTATGGCCTCTTTTCAAAGGGCCTTGGCTATGAATCGATGTGTAAATGCCTGTGCTTACATGCTTAGGCACACATGCACATTTCCAGTGAGTGCTAATGTATGAGCAAAGGAAATAAAAAACAAAATTGCTAGAAGGCCCCAAGAAATGACACAAGGATTAAAGTTCAACATACAATAAGGAACCTAATTGATGGGTTTCACTCCGAATACAGGAGCTGGTGAGGTTATTTATTTTTACCCAAAAAATATAGAAAAAGAAAAAGAAAACTATGGCAAAGACACTACTCTACTTACCTATATCCTCTTGCTCAGGTGAATCAAGTAAAATATCTTAATCAGAAGGCAAAAAGGGAGAACCAGGATAGTTTCCCAGGGCTCCTAGGCTTGTAAAAAAATTCAAGACATCATACGCAACCAATAAAACATTAAAAATATAAATTCGCTAAGTTGAGCGTGAGAGAGAACTAAAATAGTTAAAAATAAATAAAGGATATTCAAAAGCATCACCTCCATGCTCTATCTGATTTATGACATACTAGTGGCAAATATGCAGAGGAGGATTGGGAGTTTCTAAGCCATCATTTTAGAGTTTCTTGTTACTAGATTTCTTATCTAGGGGTTAGTCCTATGCTTTTTTTTTTTTTTTAGCCTGACAAATAATAGACAAAAATCTCCAGTTTTGAATCATTGAGCTCTGACATAGAGATAGGCTGAACATATCCCTTATGGGTTTGACATGCACAAAGAGAAAGGATAAACTTCTCTTTGCAAGTTTTATTAATGATCAAGTGCTTGTGTAATTTCGCATATTGGGAACAATCTGATTAAGAAGCAAGAGTACTTTGATGGTGATTTAGCTAACGGGTCTGAGAGTAGTACTAGTTATTGGATGAGTTCTGGAGTGTTCTCCACTTCTTCGTCGCCACCGCCGAGTCACGGTGGGGATGGACTCCGCGGCGATGTAGCATCGGCCTTGACTGGTTTCAGAAAACGGATTTTCCGAGTTCTTGCAATCTATGCAAAAGTCTCTTGCTTAAGTATACTATATGGTGAATTAACACTACATTAAATCTCTATATTTTGTGTAGTGTACTTTGTTTTGTACATTACTATTGTTTGTCACAATAGGTGTAAATGTTTCTTGGTAGGCAAACGTTTAAAAATTGATCAAAATTTAGAAAATTACCCAATGCGTGATCAAAATTTAGACCGTAAACAGCATAATATCATGAGCAGCTGCACTGGTAATGGGAGTAAATTGTGGCCAGTAGTAGGCAAGGCTATGGATGAAAATTTTGGGTCTGAATGTTGTTTAGCTACATTTTTTATCCCGAATTTCAAGTTATTTGCGAGCAAGTCTCAAAACCTGCTCTCTGCATGCCTGAAAAATGGAGGGAATATGGATTTTTATGAAAATTTAGTTTCTATTTTGACTGTTGAGGAAACGAATTAATATTAATGAACAGAAAATTTTAATTTACATCTTAATGTAAGAAACCCTAGTCTCGTGGAGGAAAAGGAAAAATTAAAAATTAAACAGAATAAAAAATTAAGTGCATGAGAAACGGGTTCCTCGGGAGCTTTAATGGCGGATAGCAGGTTCTGGAAAATCGGTGAAAGTTCAGAGAACAAAGATGAACCAAATATATATATATATATATATATATATATATATATATATATTCAGAGAAGAATAGAGATGAACAAAGAACAGAGATCAACACACGTACCTGGGTTATTTTCCTATGAAGGTGAAATTTGCGAAATTTGGGCTTAGATAATTAGGGTTTCGTGTGGATTTTGGTTGATGGATCGATGTGTGCGAATTTGGGAGGAATAGGAATGGTACCTTTTTCGCGCTGCTAGAGCTTGATGCAAAAGAAGCCGCCAAATTCAACTTTTCACAAAAAGAACCCCTATTCTATAAGGGGCCATGCGAGCCTGTTGTAGAAAGCCCTTTTTACAATGGGCTATCTGGGCCGGTCGTCAAAAACTACTCTTCTACAAGGGCTTGCACGGGCCAGTTGTAGAAAGTACTTTCTACAAGGGGCATGCCCCTTGTAAAAAATGTGTTGTTAAAAGCCCATTTTGTTGTAGTGATACCTAACAAAATCGGAAACACACAAAGTAAGTATACAAAACATGAGTATACTAAATGAAATCTAGATACAAGAAGCAAGTGCACAGTTTCAATTATACTGAATTAAGTCTAAATACATGAAATAAGCATAATGTCTATACAATTAAACAAGGTGAGAAATACTCCCTATAACACAACAAGGTTCTTAGATCTTTAAGAGCTAACACTTGAAATCTAAGAATTTAGAGATTTTGCATGTTGGTATAAATCATTTCATATGGTCCATGCCACCTAGAATCTAAGTCAAAATGTTTATATAGGATCATTCATATATCATATCAATATGAAGCAACATGAATCACGATGTCTATGAAACTAAACAAGGTTAATCCATACAACACGACAAGAGGATGCTAGAATACAAGGATCACATTATCAATGTGATTTACATGATTGAGATATACCAATTAACACAGCAAGAATTATACACGAATTCAAGAACAAGGTATAATGTCTATGCAATTAAACAAGGATGGAACATTTTCTATAACACGAAAGAGTTTTAAATATTCAAGGAATGCAACACTTGAAATTTAAAGAGTGAAATCAACAATGTGAAAACTTGGATATCGTCCGGATTAAAACCATACTCTTGGGATCACTTTAGGGCTACTAACCCATGGGTACCTTCCCCTAATGCGCACGATAGAAAATCATTCTCTTGGAATCACTTTAGGCTACTAACCCAAGGGTACCTTCCCCTAATCTTGGGATCACTTTAGGGCTACTAACTCAATGGTACCTTCCCCTAGTGCGTAAGATAGTGTAAGGAGCTCTCTATCTCCCGTACTAAAACCAAGTCTTAGCCATGTCACTTCTTGATTGATATCCTCGAGTTTCCAAAATCAACAAGTTGTGCAAGTCAAGATGGCATCAAGATACAAATAATGCATTAAACACGTTTCATGCACAACCAAGATTTTGGAAACACACAAGGCATGCCCTAAGTTCTTAACTATTATGGCATGTGAAATGTCAAGGAATCATAGTATGCATTTACATAGACTACAAACTAGGATATAAAGTACATAGAATCCATTGATGTAAACATACCACTAGTACAAGATTAATGATTTAATGTTTTGTTTAACAACACTTGAACAATTAAATCATTCCAATGTAAAGGTGCAAGTTCATCAACTACATTAATGAAGTTAGGTTGCAACAAGTCATGATATATGATAAAAAGACAAAAGCCCCATGAAATACAAGTCTAATTCATTAGAACACTAAGTAGAAATTAATTAACCTAATTAATTAATTTATCTAGAAATCAAAGTTGTCCAAAAATTCTCAAAATAATATATGCGAAAGTATATGGCATACACATCAAGAATATCAAATCAGAAATCCAATGGAATGAATAGTGCACTTGGAATAAATTAATTAATCTAATTAATTACTTGTCTCTAAATTTTAAAACACCTTTGAATACTCTCAAATTCACCTATGTTGAAGAGCATGCTAGGGCTTAATATAATATGCTAACACATGTTGATTTCAAGCTAGTTAAGGCCACATGAATTAAACATTTACTCAAGATAAATATTAAATAAAAACTTCAATACTTATCCAAATGCTCTCAATTTAATATATGTCAATGAACATGTCAAGGGTTAATATTCTATCATGTCACATGTTTAAACCAAGTTATAACCAACTGGAAATATCAAATCTCATACAAGAAAAATATTAAATAAAATCTCTAGATTTGATACAAAGACGTGTAAATGAGTTGTATAAGCATCAATAACATGCAATACATCAAGAATATAAATTATAACACCCCTTACCTCTATTTGAGATGAAATCTCAAATCCCCACAGAAAGAAAAATGCTCTGAATCCGACAATACTCCTAGGTTATGTCAGGGATAACGAGAGGAACATTAAAAATCAAGGAGGTACCATGAAAAATCAAACTTGGCTTCAAACCCAAACTCAAAAAATAGCCAGAAATGGATTCTAATAAGGGGAAAAGGTGCGCGTCGTTAAGGCGAGTAATAAACACTAAGGCACTACGATATTTCACACGAGGGAAGTGGCCGGAAAAGAAGAGAGAAGGTGGTAGCCCAAAGGGCTACCATGGTTGCTGGCCAAAGAGAGGGGAGGGAGATAATGAAGTCTGACTTTTTGACTTAAGACCCCCTTTTTATAGAAAAACCCTAAAAGTACCCCGAATGGGTCTCGCCGGGTCCGGAAAAGTAAAATTTGAGTAGACGCACTCAAATGGCAAAACTCCATGAATGAAAAAGAACCGAAATGAGAAAATATGAACAATGGAAGAAACGGGATCAAAACTAAGTCCCGAGCAGAGATATATGCCCCGAACAAGTTCGGCGGCAACCGGGGTCAGAAATCCCTGAAACTGGGGAAAACGATCAGGAGGAAATTCTAAGAGTACATGACTCAATGAAATGTAAAAATGAATTCCGTATGAGGATCCAGGCTCAAAACGAGGTATTTTGCAATAACTTTCATTAATTGCATAATGACCCATATAGAAAGGGATAACTGCAAAACTGTCTAGAATGAAAATATCTTCCAAAAGATATTTTCTTAAAAACCCCTGAAATAAAATATCTTCAAAATATATTTATGAAAAACACCCCAAGAAAAGAAAAAGATTCTAAAGAACTGTGCATCCATGCCCCTATGAACACCAGAGTACTTTCTTACAAAAGTAAAGATACGTACTTCATGGAAACCACATAGAATGAAGATACGTGAAGTCAGAAATCAACTCCAAGCATGAAAAGTGAGGTTGTACCAACAAAGTGACAACCGAGAAAAAGACGAAAAGTGAATAGTGTCAAAAAAAATGAAAATGTGGAAATGACTAGGTCCTCAAAGGAAGTTGTCAATCCAAACGAAAGAGTCTCAGAAACCATTTCCAAGCACTCGAGACGACGCCTAGTGATGAGAAACAGAACTCGAAAAAGAAAATTAAACGGGGAAAAAAAAAAATTATCCTTAAAATTTGAGAAAAAAGAAAGGGAGAAAAATGACCGGGTCATTACATAGTCATGGCCTGCAAAAAGGAAAGAACACTTGCAATTGTAGTTAGTACAGGAAATAATATAGGAGATATAGAAATGAAAGCACAAAGATAGAAACATGCTTGTCAGATTAAGATAGACAACTCAGAATATAAGAACATGAACCTATCTATGTAAGTGGTAATACAACCAAGTATAGACAGTGAATGATCAAATATGTGAAACATGCTAGATATGACAAGTAAAGAATGCAACCAATGTGGAATACACAGGCATTGGGCATAAATATAATAGTATGGACACAAGAAAAGGTACAGGGGAATCAATTATGCAAAACAGTGAAGTTCGAACGATTATAGAAAAATGTGATCAATCCAAGTTGGATCGATCATGATATGCATTGGATCAATCGTGCTTTGATCGATTAGAACACTGGTGTGATTAATCGAATCTGCTGAGAACTGAAAAGTTACTGAGTTGTGATGTGGAAGACACGGGGGGCATCTAATGGTCACTTCAAGGCCCGTGACCCCCTATACACCTCAACAATGCAAAAATGGTCACTTAAAACGGCACGTGACCCTCGAAGAAAATTCAGAAACAAAATCTATATATACACATGCTCCCAATTCTAAAAATGGCAACAAAATCAACATGGGAGGCTTTAATATATACATGGCAAGATTAATCATCAAAACAACACAGAAAAAAATAAATAAATAAAAATAAAAATAAAAACATACCAAAGATTTTAGGAGAGAAATGGACCAAGAAAGAGAAGAGGA